GTCAGCTTTCGGAGAAGTTTGAAAGACTTTGCTGGCACTGTAACAAACCTGGGCACAAGTTAGCTCAATGCTGGCAACTTCAACACAGGGGAGAAAATACAGCAGTAAAGGCTGGTATCCAGAAAAGTTGTTGGAACTGTGGAAAGCACGGACATTTGAGGAGCCAGTGTAGAAAGAATATTACCAACAAGTCGGCCTCAAGGAGACCAGTAGTGGTTGGTGTTGAGCGACGCCCACCAACCCCCATCATGAAAGTCCCAACAGCTAGGAGTAAAATGCCAAGCACACACAGTGTCTATGTGACAGGAAAGCTGGATGGCCAAAGGTGCAACTTTGTCATAGACTCTGTGTATCAGCAAACCCTTGTGAGCATCAAGGTGTTAAATCACGAAGGAGTACCAGAAGCCACACAGAAGCTTTATGGTGTGACGGGACATTCTACAAGGTTGTGGGGACCAGTGTGGGTAACTATTGAACTCATGGACATAAAGGACAGACAGAAAGTATACTTGGCTGACATGGAAGACGAATGCACATTAGGATTGGACTATCTACTACCGAAAAAGTTTGTAACTGATTTTGATAAAATGACATTTGGGAACAACAAAGGCCAAGTTCCGGTAACTGTTAAAAGAGAGGTTGGACTAACCAGGAGTCATCAAGTTGAAGTCAAAGTGGCTGAAGAAATTGATGATGGTGAAGTGGAACCAAATATTGATATTAAAGCAGAGCAGGAGAAAGATCAAGATTTGAAGCCTATAATTGATTTCCTAAAAAACAAGTGTTTTGCGCCCTGCTTGGGAGAAGGTGTCTAGTCTAAGCCCCGTGATAAACCACTAGTGGGTGCAATGGGACCAGTTAAAGCTTGAAGATGGTATTCTTGTACGGAGATGGGAAACTACTGATGGGAAAGTGACGACTTGGCAAACATTTATACCGAGGAAGTTACGGGAAGTTGTGCTGCGCCGATCCCACGATAATTTAACAGGAGGACATCTCGGAATTAGGAAGACATTGAGTCATCTACGACAAAGATTTTACTGGATAGGTATGAGGCGAGATGTGGAAGAATGGTGCAGGACATGCAGTACTTGTAGTGCTAAAAGGGGACCCAAGCATAAGGGACGCCCACCTTATGAAGAGTTGCCTGTGAATATGTCAGAGTTTGCAAAAGTGTTATCGGAAAGGATGGATGAAATTCACCATCAAGTGCATTCAAACTTGAAAACGTCTGCTGATTCAATGAAGTTAACTTATGATAAGAGATCTACTCAAGTCTGCTTTGTACCCGGAGACAAGGTATGGTTGTATAATCCCAGGAAGACAAAAGGGAAGTCTCCTAAGTTGTCTTCTCCATAGGAAGGCCCATATGACATAGTGGATCGTCTCTCAGACGTGACTTTCCGGGTAAAATATGGTCGGCGAGGTAAACCAAAAGTGGTGCATGCCAACAGGCTTTGGCGTTATCACGGTCCATGACATTTCAGTTGGGATGAAGTGGACAACAGAACAAATGACGCTGCTAAAGACGTGATACCTGAAGAAGCCACCGTTGAAGATGAAACTCTACTCAGTTTGAGAAGGG